TCCAGAGATCGTACCCGAAGGATCTAGAAAATAATCGAGGTTGATTTAGTAAAATCGTAACAATATTATAGTGTTGCGAAAATGCGAGGCGAATGTCGGATGAAAGAGAGAAGCCGATAACTAGTACATTCTAGAAACGATAAAACAAGAACCTTCGATAGCGAACAACTCGATGACTCTACGCTTTCATCTGCGAGCAGCCGACTGCTATATAAAGGCGACACTCAGCTGCAAGTTAAGGAAGTTATAAAGTGAACTCGTTGGCGTTAACATCAGTAAAGTCGTAAAGTAAACAAGTTGAAGACTACATTTAAGTAGAGTAAATTGTGAAAGTTGATGATAGTGATTGTAAATAGTAAAGTGTATTATAATTGAATTGTGAATTACGGAGTAAATAAAGGACATAAGATAAAATATTTATAACGAAAGAAACTGCAAATTAAGTTGGCGAGTTTTATTTAACAATCCAGAGATCGTACCCGAAGGATTCGGAAAATCATCGAGGTTGATTTAGTAAATTCGTAACAATAGTTTATAAGTTATTTGTTGTTATAAATTGTTAACTTTATTCCATTATTTTTTTATGAAACGGTCACTATTCTTTCATTTTTGTTTAACAAAAACAAATATTACTTTGATTTTATTAAATAGTTTCACTTATTTTGTATATATTAACGCGCAATGTGACTTAAATAAAGATTATCAAATTATATTATAATCAAAGCAAATGTTCACTTAAACATGGCTGCATACTAATATGGATGGTGTTGCCGTACAGGGTAAAATATTCTGTAAATTCAACAATATTCAGCAATGAACATGGAAGGCGGTGCCCTACCATGTAAAATATTATACAAATTAAACAATATTCAACAACAAAATATGAAAACAAAACAAAATGAAAATTTACTGTGCTAGGCGAAGCCGGTGTTGGTCTGGCCAGGGTTACAACCGAAAGCGCGGCCGAAGGCCGCCAATTTACAAAGGAGTTTCCCTTAAGAATACTATGCAAGACGAAGCCGGTGTTGGTCCGGCCCAGGGTTACAATCCAAAGTGCGGCCGAAGGCCTCCAATTTATAAAGGAGTTTTACTTAACTTAAAATTTTTAAGTGAATAACATTTTATTTTTTAAACAATTTTTTTATTATATTTTCCTGCATATTTATCCTTAATTTATAAACCTTTTTACCGAGTGGCTACGCCTGCCTAGCCAAAATACAAACAAACAGGCTCTGTACTGAAGTATTATTTTACTCCTATAGAAAGAAGAAAGGCTAAAGAAAAGAAAATTAGTTTTAGAATCTAAGATTTTTCCTCTTTCCATCCATATAAAATTTATTTGCGGAAGCTTGTGACTCTAAACAAAAATTTTACCACGTTTAATATTTTAAATTCGACCAAAGATGCCGCCAGACGTAGCAATTAATTAATTCGATTAATTTAAAAAATTTAACAATTCCGCAATTTAATTTGAAAAGCCAGTTGCTTAAAAACCTTTGTGGATCCCAGTAAATAAAGTGTTGAGAATTTGAATTTTTTTTCTTTTGAGTTTACTATAAAAAATTTTCTATAACATTAAAATGATTTTCGTTAAATAGGGCATGATAATATCCCAAATCCCTCGATTTCGAGCTCGAAATAAAAGTAATGTGTTCTTTTTGATAATTCTCTATCTGCAGCTGTTTAATTAATTACACAAAAAAAGGGTTTTCCAATAAGAGGTGTTATTTAGAAATTCGAAGAAACTTTTCCTTAAAAGGTCGGCTTCACTGCTTATTTGGCACCATCTTGTTAAAAGTAAACCGTGTCCAGATCAAAACCATTTAATTCCAGCTATAAAAAATCTTTAATCATTCGAAAAAGTAAGATCCAAAAACCCCGCCGAACTATAAACTTTTAATAACTTCAGTGCGTTTTTGAAGCGTGTATCCTTCCATTATTACTACTGCGTGGCTTTTGCTTGTCACATGTCAAAGATTTCAGCTTAAAAGGTGACATCTGCAGCTACGAATATATTTGCATTCGTGTCACATAAAAATATTTTGTAGACATACGATTTATTTTATTAATCAGTAAGATATTTTCATGCTACGATAAAAAGGGAAATCAGTTTATTTTTATATGTTGCCTTTAAAAAATTCAAATATGATAATAAATATCTATATATATATATATATATATATATATATATATAGGCAATGCCGTGGCTACTCATTGTAGCAGTTTAATTAGAAATAGATCTAATTTGTTCACGTATCAGTGGATGTGCGGTCGTGTAGTCGTTACTTCGTTCGCTACAATATTGATTTCGACAACATGTAGTCCGTAGCTCGTCGCGTTCATTATAGAGAAATTTTTATGCTTGTTGTGCTTGAGTGGTTTTGGTTAGCAGGGTTCTCTTTTCCGGTTTATCGTCTTTCTTTCCTTTCCGAAATTCGTCGAGAGTAAGTCGACATGAGGTATGTTCCCAATATTATTTTGTAATTAAATATATTTCGTTTAGATCTCGTACTTTGTTTACACATTTATCGTGCTATTTAAAAAAAAAATTATTTTTATTTCATTGCAGTTCCCTAAAGTTGCAGAAAAGGCTTGCAGCCTCTGTTATGCGATGTGGCAAGAAAAAGGTTTGGTTGGATCCTAATGAAATTAATGAAATCGCTAACACCAATTCTCGTAAGTAATTGAAGGTAAAGAAATTCAATTGGATTTGAAATAATTAATTTGTAATTCTAATTCTAGGTCAAAATATCCGGAAATTGATTAAGGATGGTTTGATTATTAAAAAGCCCGTTGTTGTTCACTCGCGGTACCGTGTTCGTAAAAACACAGAAGCTCGTCGCAAAGGCCGCCACTGTGGATTTGGTAAGCGCAAGGGTACTGCGAATGCTCGCATGCCCACTAAGTTGTTGTGGATGCAACGTCAACGCGTTTTGAGACGTTTACTCAAAAAATATAGGGATAACAAAAAAATTGATCGTCACTTGTACCATGACCTGTACATGAAGTGCAAGGGTAATGTTTTCAAAAACAAACGTGTACTGATGGAATACATTCACAAAAAGAAGGCAGAGAAGCAGCGCAGTAAAATGCTTGCAGATCAAGCAGAGGCCAGACGACATAAAGTACGTGAGGCCAGAAAACGCCGCGAAGAAAGAATTGCAGCAAAAAAGCAGGAACTTTCCAAATTGCACGCTAAAGAAGATGAGGTAGCGGCACAAGCCGCAACAACTGCTCCTAAGAAATAAAACAAAATATGCTAGAATGGTATATTAAATGTTTTTATTGAACTAAAGATTTGTTTTATTACTGGCGTTTTTGTATTGACATTGAGTTTTTGGGATCGTAGTTGGAAAGATCCATCGCAACGATTAAAATACTAAGTTTTATTGTGCATAATACAATAATTTCAAGGTAGTTTCATTCTTTTAGCATATTATTAAATATTTTAAAAATAATGGAAGTATTTTGCGACCCGAGGTCGGTTACAACGAGTATATCCCATCCTAGATTAATTAATTTTAAGTTATGAAAGTTTTAAAAAGTGAAGGCTAAAATTTAAAACGATTTCATTGTCTCCGACTGTGTTTAATTAGCTGTAAAGAAATGAATGCTTTAACGAAGTTTTGAAAGTAGACAACTAATAAAATGTTGTTGTTGTTGTTGTAGCGGATTCGCTAACCCCGCCTAGGCACAGGCTTCAATTAGTCTAAGTCGTCGAGGTCATCTAAAGGTAGGCCCAGGAAACGAGCTGTTTCGACGGGGTTGGACCAAAGGGAGAGGGGTGTTAGATGAGTAGGTTTGAGGGGGCATGTGAAGAAGTGGTTAGTGTCGTGCGGGGACTCTCCACATGCCGGGCATACGTTAGGTATGCTGGGGTCTAGTCTGGATAGGTAGGAGTTTAACCTACTACAATATCCAGACCTAAGTTGTGTCAGGGTCACGCGGGTCTCTCGAGGCAGCTCGAGCTCGTTGTCTGCTATGGGTGGTGGTATTTCTCCGAGTACGCCATTCACTGGAAGGGAGTTCATGAAGGTGTTAACTGACTCCTGGTGAATGGCGTTCAGTGC